GCGGCACCATCGGGTCCCCATTCCTCACGTTTCCGTGTTTCTCTCGTGCTCAGGGTTTCACACATCCTGCTCCCTTCCCTGGAGTGCTCCTCCCTCTTCCACTCCCATTATCCTGCTGGTCCCTTTAAATATCACTTCCGCAGGGCTGCTGCCCCGAGACCTCCCGTCCTCCCCATCTGGTTTACATACGCTCCTTCCTTTAGTTGTAGAACTGCCCCCTTCCTCCTCGCACTCAGCAGTCTGTGACCTCTGTTCCCCTGGGTGCGGCTCGTTCCCATCAGCCTCCTCCGCTTGACTGGCAGCTCCGGGAAGGCAGGCATCCTGGCTGGTGTCTTGTTACTGAATCTCCAGCTACTAAAACCGTGTTTGGTACACAGTCTGTGCCCAATCAGTTTTAGTCGGGTAGATGAATGAGGTTATATTCCCCTGTGATCCAAGCTCACTGGACCACTGGACGGGGAAGGGGGACACTTGGCTTTCCCTTCCTCCTCCATCATTCCAGAGAGAGGAAGGGAGAGAGAAAGAGAGAGAGAGAAACACCAATGAGAGAGAAACATCGATCAGTTGCCTCCTGCATGCCCCCCACTGGGAATCGAACCCGTGACCTTTTGGTTTATGGGTCAACGCTCAACAGCTGAGCTACACCAGCGGGGCCATTCCAGCCAATATGGATTGCTCCTCACTGGAGGCCAAGCACTGTGGCCAGGGTGGGTGCCAGAGCAATGGACAGGACACTGGTCCTGCGTTTACACAGTTGGGGGGAGAGGTCCAAGCAGCTCGCGTAAAGGATGTCTGAGGGCGGGGAAGCCTGAGCCCCTTCCTGCCTGTAGTTCCAGGAGGATGGATTCCTGGTGCTGGAAGGATTCCTGTCTGCAGAAGAGTGTGTGGCCATGCAGCGGAGGATCGGTGAGATCGTGGCTGAGATGGAGGTCCCGCTCCACTGCCGCACAGAATTTTCCACCCAGGGGGAGGAGCAGCTGCGAATGCAGGTAGGTGCCTGGGGCAGGCGGAGATGCCACCTGGTCTTTGATGGGGGCTCAGCCCAGAGGCCCTCGGCTCATTCTGAAAACAAATCAGGCCCCAGCCTTCCATGTGCCAGGCTCCAGGCTCAGTGTCCTATACGCATAGTTCCTCCATGACTCAGGACGAATGTATAAGGTCAGCATTATTGTCCCCATTTGACAGGTGGGAAGAATGAGGCTTGGCCCAAACCATGGGATTTTAACCCAGGTCTGTCTGATACCAAATCCATGCAGTTCACTGCTCTGCCCTCTTCCTCAGTAGTTCTCTGGTCTCCAAGGGCCTCCTGGTGGCCAGGGACCCAACATGACGATGTGCCCGCCTGTGGAGGGCTTATCCCCCAAGCCTGGAAACTCTGCCCGTTTCCCTCCAGTGACCTAATGCCACTCAGCACAGTTTGAGATGGGGAAGGTGAGACTTGGGAATTCATCCACAGTTCTCTACCCAGCTCCCAAGCCAGCGCTGCCTGTAGTCCAGGCCCCCTAAAGGGCCTCACTCACACTCATGCTGAGGAGCTGCTGCCACCTGGTGGGCACAAAGGGAATCAATGACGGGAGCCATGCAGCCTACAGGGCAGGGACTTGCGGAGGGAGGAAAAGGGTTACAGAATGATAATTTCCTCTAAAAGTTTGGTTTCATTTGTCAGCACTCCAGCCTTCTCCTTGGGGGAAGCAGAGACGGGGCTCCTGTGTCCAGCGTCAAGTAAAGACTCCCAGGAGCGGGGGGGCTAATCCTGTGCTCTCCAAGCTGCCTTCTGAGAATGCTCCAGGGACCAGTGAGGGGCGGGGGTGGAGGGCGGGAGGAGCAAGTGCATATATCTTGGCTTATAACGCTTGCAAATAGCTTGACACAGCGCCCGGGACTCAGTAAACCCTCAGTATTCACTACTGATCTTGTGAATGACTTTGAAATTAAAAAAAAGTTGAGCCCGGCCAGTGTGCTCAGTTGGTTGAGCATCATCGTCCGTGCACCAGGAGGTCACTGGTTCCATTCCCGGTCAGAGCACATGCCTGGGGCTGTGGGCTTGATCCCCAGTAGGAGGTGTACAGGAGGCAGCCAGTCAATGTTTCTCTCTCTCTCTCTGAAATCAATAAAAACATACTATAAAAAAAAAATGATGAGAGGGTGTCCTGTCCAGTCCTCCCAGCTTACCTCCCATACCTCTCACTGCCTTTGAGTTATTTTACAACTCTAAGTTGTACAGAACTGATAATGATGCACAGAAGATAATTGTGTATAGAAATGGGTAAGAGCGGGGTCTGGCAGGATGCAATTACGATTCCGTGCCCTGCACTGGTCACAGTTATGCAGACTGCACTTATTGCCCTGTAGATAGGTCAGCTTTGCATCCATCTGTAAATTCACTTCAGCATTTGTTATTGTCCACGTGTGCGTGGTTCAGGGAATTCTCATGAATGAATGAGTTAAGGAAAAATCCTTCACACAGTTAGCATCATTGCCTTCAATATCATTAATATCAGTTATGCTTCCCTGACATGTTTCCCTCCCTCTGATCCTGGTGCAGAGGAGCTAAGAATGTTGGGAAAAAAAACAAAAAGCAACACACGTAACTTTTACTTTTCAGTGGGAAAGGCTTTGAAGGGGCGGGGCAGGTCACCAAGTTGAGCCATGGAGACACATGTAAAGCAGTGGCAGGAACCCACGTGTGGGGGTTGGTGCCACCCCACTCCACTCCTTTGCTGTGCAGAAAGGCAGGGTGGCTAACGCCACAGGAAAGCATGGGACGTCTTTCTGGAACATCATTTTCATATGATGCTAAGAAACTGGAAACATGATATGAAAATGAACAGGGAGAGGTTCTTAAGAACATAGAAAAAGAACAGTAATAGCTCATATTTATCAAACCTGTAGCCATGCCCTTGCGGCGTGTTCTCTACTTAGCAGCAGTAATAATAACAAAAGCAGATACATGTCACTTATCGGCACTCCAAGGACTGTCCTAGTGCTTTGTATATACCTGCTCAGGATCCTTCAACCCCCAACCCCCCCCCCCCCCCCCATGAGATAGGCGCCATAGTAGCAACTGTGTCTTAGGAGGAAATTAAGCCCAGAGAGGTTCAGTAACGTGGTTATAGTCACACAGCCAGGCAGCGGCAGAGCTGGGATTTAAACCCAGGTATTCTAGCTCCAGGGTCTGTGCTCTCTCCTGCGGTAAGCTTCAGCCTCTCCCTAAAGCCTCCAACAATCGCTGGAGGTCAGTCCTGTCATTATTCCCCTTTGCATGAGGAAGGAGGCTCTGAGAGGTAACACAAGTGGCCCCAGGCTATCTGGGCACCAGGCCTGTTTGATTCTAGCGCAGCGGTTCTCAACCTGTGGGTCGCGACCCCTTTGGCGGTCGAACGACCCTTTCACAGGGGTCGCCTAAGACCATCCTGCATATCTGATATTTACATGACGATTCATAACAGTAGCAACATGACAGTTATGAAGTAGCAACGAAAATAATGTTATGGCCGAACCGGTTTGGCTCAGTGGATAGAGCGTCGGCCTGCAGACTGAGGGGTCCCAGGTTCGATTCCGGTCAAGGGCATGTACCTGGGTTGCGGGCACATCCCCAGTAGGGGGCGTGCAGGAGGCAGCTGATCGATGTTTCTCTCTCATCGATGTTTCTAACTCTCTATCCCTCTCCCTTCTTCTCTCTGTAAAAAACCAATAAAATATTAAAAAAAAAAAAGAAAATAATGTTATGGTTGGGTCACAACACGAGGAACTATTTAAAGGGACAGAAGGTTGAGAACCACTGTAGCGCCGGTTGAGTCATGTGACTTCAGAGGTTTCCAAGAAATGTCATGCTTGTAGCTCCCAGCTGTGCTCCCAGGCCCTTGGGGTTGCCAGTCACTTCTGCCTTGGTGGGTGGGCAGGTTTGAGGAGCACCAGGGGGTCGCTAGCCCTGTGGGTGGGAAGCATGTGCGCCCTCTTCCTTCCTCGCCAGGCCCACCTCTGACCCTCGATGCTTGCTCAGTCCCTCTGATGTCCCCCCTCCACAGGGCAGCACAGACTATTTCTTGAGCAGCGGCGACAAGATTCGATTCTTCTTTGAGAAAGGCGTTTTTGACAAGAAAGGTTTGGAGCTGGGGCCCTAGGGGTGGGGATACACTGGACTCGGGTATCTGCCCCCAGGGCGGCGGAGGCCGGGGCGGGGCAGGGGCACTACCCAGGGGAGACTGGACTCTAGCTCTTCAGCCTGTACCTGCTCCTTGTGCCACAGGAAACTTCCTGGTCCCCCCAGAGAAAGCCATCAACAAAATTGCCCATGGTAAGTAGGCACCTTGGGGAAAGGGCCTGAGTAAACTGAGGCCTGGGGGGTTTGGGGGCGTTACCCAAAGCAAGCAGTAGTGGCCCAGCAAGTGGCATTTCTGGCAGCAGCGCCCCCTGCTCCTCTGCACCTTGTGATGCTAATCACCTGGCACTGGGAAGGGGGGTCCAAAGAGGCCCCCCCCCACATGGGCATAGGTAGACCCCTCAGCTCCCATGGCCTGGGATGATCCAGGCCCTGGGCATGGGGCTCCTGGGTCCCACTGCTTCCTGGGGTCTCCGTAAGGAGCACCTAACCTGCTGACATGGTCCCTTCCAAAGCAAGCTAGGAAGCTGGTGTTTTGGTTTGTTTTTTCAGTCTGATACATTATAATCTGTTTTGTAGACTGCTTATTATTGTTTTGTTTTAATCTTCACCTGAGAAAATGTTTTCATTGATTTTTAGAGAAAGAGAAGTAGGGGGAGAGGGAGAGAAACATGGATGTGAGAGAGAAACATCAATCCATTGCCTCCCATATGCGCCCTGACCAGGGATCAAACCTGCAACCTAGGTATGTGCCCTGAACTGGAATCGAACCTGAAACCTTTTGGTGTATGAAACGCTCCAACCAACTTAGTCACCTGACCAGGGCTATATTGCTTACTTTTAAACTTGAAGTTATATCATCGTAGTTTTGTAAAAAAATTTTCATAAAATACATATAACATAAACTTTACCATTGTACAATTTTGAAGTGTACAACTGAGTGGCATTAAGTACATTCAACCCTCACTTTTTAAAAAAAAATTTATTTTATTGATTTTTTTTACAGAGAGAAAGGGAGAGGGATAGAGAGTTAGAAACATCGATGAGAGAGAAGCATCGATCAGAGCCTGGGACACTTGAGCCCGCAGGCCGATGCGCTATCCACTGAGCCAAACCAGTTAGGGCTCAACCCTCACTTTTAAAATTGAGGTATAATTGACATATAACATTTCACACACAGAGGCACACACACTGATTTTTTTGTAACAACATAGCCAACAGTGAGAGGAGTGACTACTGAGTGCGGGCCCTAGGAGGGGGTTGCATGAGTTGCCCTGTGAGTCCTAGGCAGCGTGGGAGGCAGGCAGGCCTTAGTCCCATTGTGCAGAGAAGCACACTGAGGCTTACAGGAGAGAAGTCACATAGAGTGAGTGGCAATACTGAGATGCCACCGCATGATGGGCCCCTGGGAGCCCTTTGTCCTCTGAGGAGTGGGAGGCAGGGCTGGAGTGATTCTCAGATGCCTGGAAGGTCAAGAATAAGGTCATGGCTGGACTGGGACCTATGATGGGGAGGAGTTGTCTGTGGGGCCCACTCCTTGGTTATAAACAAGCAGAAAGCTTAATGCACAGCATCAGTGAGAACAAGGCCTGGGTCTGGGTGGCCAGGGCTAGGCGGCGGGGGGATATGTGGGGCTGGGGACTGGCCCATCAGCCCACCTCTGTCCTGCAGCTCTGCACGCCTATGACCCTGTCTTCAAGCGTGTCACACACTCCCCCAAAATGCAGGTGAGCAGAGGTGGGGGCGAGGGCGGGCGGATAGGCCAGAAGTGAGTGTGGCTAGGCTGGCAGTGTGACCTCTGCCCCCTTCCAGGCCTTGGTCAGAAGTCTGGGCCTCCAGAAGCCTGTGGTGGTGCAGAGCATGTACATCTTTAAGGTGAGCTCCCCGGCTTCCCCAGGCCTCAGTTTACCCTCTGTAAAATGGGCAGAATGCTCATACCAAGCCCCTCCTTTTTGGGGAGCCAAAAATGGCTTCCCAAGTTATTGTTAAGTTGGGGGAAGAACATGTAAAATCGGTCTTCTCTGGCTAAGGCACCTGGCATTCAGTTGGTGCTGTTAAAATGTGGTGGTAGGAGGGACAGGGATCCCTAGGACTACCTCTTTCCTTCGGCTTTTGAAATGCTCTGCTTCCAGCTTTCAAGACCCTGCTCAGTACCACCTCCTCCAAGAAGCCTTCCAGCTCCCTTGGGAAGAGAGGGGCTGGCCTGGGTCCCGGCCTCTATGGCTGCCCCTCACCTCTGCCTCATGTTTTCTCGGGCATGTGCATGGTCAGACTGGGAGTGCCCTCTAGGGCAGGGTGGTTTTTCTCTCTGCAGCCCTCTAGGGCCTGGCACCCTGTAGGTGCCCGATAGATGGGTGCTGATGGGAAATCTTGGAGGTAAACACCTGTGCCAGGGAAGAGCTTCCCACAAACTCAGAGCGGCCTCTCCCCCCTCCCCCGCTGCTCTCACCTGGCCCTTTCTCTTGCAGCAACCTCACATTGGCGGCGAAGGTGAGCCCAGAGCGGGCTGGATGCCCAGCAGAGGCGGTGGCGGGCGATCTGGGATGTTGGTGGTTGCTGGGTCTTTCGAGGGCGGGAAGGCGCTTGCCGCGATGTCCGTGGGCCAGGGAAGAGAAGCCGCCTTCCGGTCCTTCCTGGAACAGTGGATTGGGGGGCATCCTGGAGCCGCGGCACAATGGCTCCCGAACCTGGACGCACGCCTATCTAGTTAAAATACAGATTCCCAGGCTCCTTTCCCTGAGATCATGAGTCAGTAGGGCTGCCAGGGCCTGGGAATCCTGTGTTCTTAACAAATTCCCTGGAGTACTGACTCAGCATAGAAATGGATTAATTCCAACCCCCCTGGATGCACAGACACCCTTTATGGCCCCCCTCGTGGGCGGTCACCCACTTCTGCTCACATACCTCCCGTGAGGGGGCCACCGACTCAGGCAGCCGTTCCTTTCTTAATGAGCCCAAGCCGGCCTCCTGCTGACCAGCTCCTCCACTCGGTCAGAGGACGGTGTCTGACGATGGCCACCCCCCCCAGGTCCAGCACCCCCATTTCCTTCAGCCATTCCTCCTCCAAGTGTTTTGGGACGCCCCCATTAGGACACCGTTCTCTTGACATTGTCTGGATTGTCAATGTCCCCCTTACAGTTTGAAATCACAGTTGCCCAGGAAGGAAGAGGAGAGACTAGCACTGCTCCACCTGGTTGTGACCAAGACAAAGGGCCTTTGGTCAGTGGTCCCCATCCTGACTGAGCCCCAGCACCGGGGAGGGGTACTTATGGACACTGTTGCCCCCGCCCGCCCACACACACACACACTTTGTGCTCAACTCCCCAGACTTCCACCACTGGGTGAATCGTCGGTGACTGGTTAAGGACAGTGGCCTCAGTTACCGGGCTGGAGTTAAATAGCAGCTACTTTTTTATTTTTTGTCAATCCTCACCTGAGGATATTTTACCATTGATTTTTAGAGAGAGTAGAAGAGAGAGAGGGAGAGACAGAGAGGGAAAAACATTAATGTGAGAGAGAGACATGATTGGTTGCCTCCCACAGGACCCTGACCAGGGATCAAGCCTGCAACCAAGGTATGTGCCCTTGACTGGAATTGAACCCGGGGTCCTTCAGTCTGCAGGCCAACGCTCTATCTACTGAGCAAAACCAGCTAGGGCAATAGCAGCTGCTTTTATTTTTTTTCCCCATCACCATTTATCCCCTCTTCCACCTCCATTTAGCAGCTACTTTTTAGCAAGTAATTAAAGTCAGTATCAGCACTTTTCACACATCATGAAATCCTCCAGCAATCCCATGAGGCCTGTTAGTGCTGGGACCACTTTACAGTGTAGGAGATGGAAGCTTTGAGAGGTGAAATCTCTTGTTCTGAGTCTCCAGGCCAGGAAGTGGCAAAATTCTAACTGACCCTGGGAAGGCTGGGCCTGGAGGGCTCGGAGAGGATTGGGGGCTGGAGAAAAAAGCCCAAGGTGAGTGGAGCCCAGCTCCTCATGCCCCCGCGGCCTGCTGCAGCCTCCTCTCACCAGGACGCCACCTTCCTGTACACGGAGCCCCTGGGCCGGGTGCTGGGCGTGTGGATCGCACTGGAGGACGCCACGCTGGAGAACGGCTGCCTGTGGTTCATCCCTGGCTCGCACACCAGTAAGGACACCCGTCTCCCCACCCACTCATACTCCACCCGCCGCGGGAGAAGGGCCTGGGAAAAAGAAAGACCAAAGGCCCCATCTTGGTCTGCAGGTGGAGTGGAGAGAAGGATGGTCCGGGCTCCTGCTGGCTCGGTGACTGGCCTCAGCTTCCTGGGGTCGGAGCCAGCCCGGGATGACAGCCTCTTCGTGCCTACACCAGTGCAGAGAGGTAGGCGGGACGCGGGGGCAGGAAGGCAGGGCCCTGCGGCCTGGCCCTGAGCCCCCACTCACCAGAGTGCGGTGAAGTCACAGAATGAGAGGTCTCTGGATACTGGGAAACCGGGAAGCTGTGGGATTAACACCAAGTCTCCTCATCAGACTAGACTCCAGGTTCCGCTATTTCTGGGCGCTTTGGGCAAATGACTGAATCTCCCAGAGCCTCAGTTTCTCCAGATGGGAAGTGGGGAAGCTGGAAGATGTCACACAGACCCTGTGAGGTACCCAGCAAGTGCTCCAGATGCCAGCTCCTAGGGCCCCCTCTTCCTTTTGGAAAAGGGAGAACTGAAGTCCAACTCAGCCCTCACTGGCCAGATCCCAGCTGACCAGCCCAGCTCTGTCTGGTTCTGCAAACACCAGAAGGATGCTCTTGCGAAAGCTGGCCGAGGGCACAGGACCCCCTGAAGGGACCGGATCCCGGGAACCCATGTCCCACAGCACAGCCTCAGGTCCCAGGGCAGGCTGCAGGCCCTCATGATGAGAACGGATGGGGAGGTGAACAGGCCACAAAACTGCTCGAGCCTTGCAGGGCCCGTGTCCCTTCCTGACCTGCTGTGTCCCTGCCAGGGGGCCTGATCCTAATCCACGGAGAAGTGGTGCACAAGAGCGAGGCAAACCTCTCCGACCGCTCGCGCCATGCCTACACTTTCCACCTCATGGAGGCCTCTGGCACCACCTGGAGCCCGGAGAACTGGTAGGTGGCAGGGAGGGTGTGCCCCAGTCCCCTAAAGAGGTCCTGGAGGCTGGGGGGAGCGGTGATACTGACATCTCGAGGTCATCTCCTCTGTCTCCTGCAGGCTCCAGCCAACAGCTGAGCTGCCCTTCCCGCCACTGTACACCTAATGGCTCCGCAGGCCTGCACGGTCCCCTCCCGGGAAGCTGTGGCTGCAAACACCAGCACCTGCCGACCGCCCAGCTGCAGCGGGGAAGTCACATCTCCTCCTGAGCTTTCCTCTGCCAGTGTCTGTGCCCCTTGGCCCTGCAGACAGGCAGGCAAGAGGTGGCAGCCGGGCAGCAATAACCTCCCCGCTGCCCCGACACAAGCTCCCTCTAGAGCAGTGGTTCTCAACCTGTGGGTGGCAACCCCTTTGGGAGTCGAACGACCCTTTCACAGGGGTCGCCTAAGACCATCGGAAAACACATATATAATTACATATTGTTTTGTGATTAATCACCGTGCTTTAATTATGTTCAATTTGTAACCATGAAATTGGGGGTCACGGCATTAGGAAGGTTGAGAACCACTGCTCTAGAGGCAGCCTCTCGGCTACAAAAGGGTTTGGCCACTCCTTTGCCAGCTCCTTCCTCTTCTCCCCTCAGACAGAACACGATTACAGCGCAAGGCACTGAATAAAAATGACTTCCCAATGCAGCTTCTCGACCCTTCTTTCCCCAGCGGACATGTCAGAATGAGGGCCCTGCTGTAAACTGTCCCAGGCATCCCAGCCCTGCCTGGCGAGGTCTGATTCCCTCACAACTCACATCTAGTGGGCACTCGCTCGCTGTGCCAAGAGCTCACCTGTTGGGTCTCACTGAGTCCTCACCCCATGGACCTTCGAGGCAGGTGCTCTTACCATCCACTCTCACAGGGAAAGTGACCTGTGCAGGTCACACAGCTGTTCAGCCTGACCCACAGCCTGTGCTCCTCACCTGCGGGGGTGGGGGTGGGGTGGGGGAGATGACCAGGGCTGGGAATCTAGTCCCAGATTCTGGTCCTGGCTCTGTGACCAAATACCTTCCTAACCTCAGGCCAGGCCCTTCCTCTCTCTGGCCCTGACGGAGGGCCTCCATGGGTCCCTCCTGCTTGGGATTGGCTGGCAGGCACCCAGACCTTTTGCAGGAACAACTACCAAATCCAGATCCTGTTTAGCTGGGGTCTGGCCTGGAGATTGCAAATCAGGGGCTACTAGCAGATGGCAGACCACAGTTGTGTTTTGTCTGGGCCTTGGCATTTTTATTTATTTTTATTATTAAAAAACATTTTTTATTTATTTCAGAGAGGAAGGGAGAGGGGTAGAGAGAGAAACATCAATGATGAGAGGGACTCATTGATTGGCTGCCTCCTGCACACCCCCTACTGGGGATAGAGCCTGAAACCCGGGCATGTGCCCTTGACTGGAATCGAACCTGGGACCCTCCAGTCCCCAGGCTGCTCTATCCACTGAGCCAAACCAGGTAGGGCACCTTGGCATTTTTAAAATAAATTCTTAAAATTGAGCCATTTCACAAAACAGTAAGATTGCCAAGCTTCCTGGAAAGAACAGGTCAACAGCACTGGGCCAGTGGTCTAGCATGTTGACAACTGGCTGAGCCTTAGAGGCGCGTGTGCTCTCTGCATCCCACTTCCCGTCCTCCGTCACTGCATTACCTGCCTGGTCTCAGCGGCCGTATGAGTTTGTCACCTTGTTTCCAGCCCCCACTGTATGCATGGACACGCCAAGGCACAAAGGACAGGGCCCTTTCCCAAGACCACAAGGCGGCGAGGCAAAGCCGCTGCTCTTCCCCGACATTTGGCCACCTCCTGGGCCAGCAGAAGGGAGTCTGAGAGAAGGGAAGGGTTTGTCAAGCCTTCGAGCCCCAAAGGAATGTCTCAATACTTTTCTGAGGGAAAGGACGTGGCAGAAATCCCACGAGCTCCCCAGAGCTCCACTCCTGGCTTCTGGTCTGACTGGGCCCACGTTCTCTTCCTGCTGGCCCCTCCCTGCCAGGCGGGGTGGAAGTGGGGAGAAGTTGCTCCTCTTCCCCCAGCCCTTCCTCATAAGCTCTTCCTAGCCCACATGGGAGGAGCCACATGCATTTGGCTATTTTCCTCTTGGGTTCTTTTCCAAATAAAGCCAAGGTCACTCTGGTCTCCAAGTATAACCAACAGACAACCACTG